TGTGGTTCAGAGCTGCCTTGCTGTGCTGGACAGATACCACACCACGGTGTTYGCCCACTGGCTCCGCTGCCACCACACATTGTTGTGATACTGCAGTCTCACTTGCACCAGAATTTGGGTTTTTGGCATGTATTTGCTCTATTCGATTCAGGATGTGAGAGTCAGGTTCTGCATATACTCCTGGGAACGTGCCAAAGACCTCTTCCTTCCTTTGAAAGGTTAAACAAATATGGTTGTCTAATGATAGCCACATGCCTGGAGTTGTTCAGGCGCATGGGAAGGGAAGGAGAAGAGTTGATGTGAAGCCCTGCTGTTTATCACAGAGCTCCTGATCCCATGAGAGGGTGAGGGACAGCACTTCAGTCATATGTGTATGGTTTAGAAAGGCAAAAGAAGAAACCTATTCAAGGACGCTGTCCTGGCTTTGCTTGTGCAGTATGGTAGTGACAGTTCACTGGAGAACAGAGAACAATTTATGTTATGTGACTTCTTGGTCTTTCTCATGGTTTCAGAGGCACTGATAAGGAAAGCATCACACCCTTTTGAAGTGGTAGATAAGGTGTACACTTAACTGATAAGAAGCCAGTCAGAAGATGCAGTGATTTGTTAGGGGCYACAAAAACACACCTGTGTTAGTTCTAGTCTCAGCTGCATGGYTTAATTATAACAACACTCCCTCCTAAATATTGGCATGACATACARTCATTTTGTTTTGGAGCATATTTGTTTCATATTGGAAAGTGGTTTTTGATTTAAAAAGAAAAAAAAAGGAAAATACTTCTTTTCTCTGAGGGCAAAATCCCTCAGAATATCGTCAGAAACACTAAAAACCTGCTGAAGTTGTTTTTTTGGTGGGCTTTTTTTGTTATTGTGAAATATATTGGCATGAAAATAAAGCCAATAAACAAAGCTAGTGCTGCTATTGCAAGCATTAGAGGTGGCAAAACTGAATAAAAAAAAAATAGTGAAACTTGAAAATTAGAAATGTTAATTTCTTTTTCTCTCTTGTTCCTACACCACTAGAAATCTGACTGAGGTATTTTTCATAGTTTTACATGTAAAATTATGCACAAATTTGTGCAAATATACAAAATCCAGTTACAAATCCTGTGGTGACTGATGGCTCYTCTGTAAACATACAGTTCTTAATGGATGCATGTAGTATCCTTCTCTGTGTTTGTAGAACATGAAAAAGTAGTTGTAGGATAAATGATTAATTCACTTCAGACATAACACTTTTCATGCTTCATCTACGGTGAGGTTGATGTATTTTGCTTTACAATCTGGCTGCATCCTAAATGCCCTTACAAATCTCTGAAATGGGCATTTCAACAAGTCTGACTTTCCTGGGAGGACCAAAAATACCTCAATGCATCTTAATCAAGCTGGTGGTGTGTCTAGTCTGGAAAAAACCTGCATTGCAAACTTTGTTGGCTTAAGAGAACAGTATTAATTAGCTGCATATGAATGCAGGAATAGRAGATTCTTAGCAATGAAAGCAAATATTCCCCATCCCTGGAAGTGTTCAAGGCCAGGTCTGATGGGGCTTGATGCAGCCTGGTCTAATAGAAGGTGTCCCTGCCCAGGAATGAGATGATCTTTACAGTTCCTTTCAACACAAAACATTCTGTGGTTCTGTGGAATATCTCTTGTTCAGTAAGTTGTGTATTGGCTTCATGGTCAAAAATAACTTTGCAAAAGATCTTCAGAATATCTGATTAGATGGAAGTATGTCCTTTACCTTTGGGCATTACAACAGTCTGAAGTTTCACTTGTAGAATTTTACATATGACTGTGTGCACCATATGTTTTCTGTTGTATTGAGAATAAGTTATTTTGCCCATGAAAAAATATTTCCTGCTTACTTTAGCTGATAGAAGGAAATTCTTGCTGAATCTGTAATGATGGGGGTCTGTCTCTAATCTACCCAAATTAGTTCTAGTTTAAGGTACTGTTTTCCCATTTTGTGATTGCATTTATCCACCTGATGCAGAACATACATGTGTTGATGCGATATATCTGGATTCCCACATATTGATCTTTTGGGATCCTGAGTGAAGGAAAATTTGTCTGACATTCAAGGAGGGTATTTGTCTACATCATGAAACCTCCATGAAATTCAGTTCTCTCTTCTGGAGAAGTCAAGGGGTGGAATAACAGTGGGAGTAGRAAAAACTGAGTTTAGGGGTCTAGACTGAATCAAGGGCCTTGTTTTATTCCTAAAGATGCAGAGTTGGACGATGTTTTAGGCTGAGGTGCTGGAGGGTAGAATCTCCTGAAGATGACTGAGTTGTATGGGCAATGCCTGCTTRTATTTATAGCTGGTTTTAGCTGTAGCTTTTCACTTAAAAAAAAAAAAAAATCAGATTCTTAGTGCAAATTGATGACRGATCACCAGAGTGAGAGGAGATGTACTTGCACATCCTCGCTTGAGAATGTRGCCCAGACTGCTCCATGGAAACAAAAGAGAGAAGCAGATGCGCTGCTAGTTTTTGCTTTAAAATCTATTCTGCATGCCTGAAATGGAAATGTGCTTGTTAGGTTTCTCATTTATTTATCTCCAGATAAGTTTTTCACAGTGGAATTGCAAAGTTTCCGTGTCCTTTGCCCTGCATGCCAGTACCCTGCGGAAGATGAAGGCTGGTACCTGTCTGTCACTGCTGCTGCAGCATCCACCTCGAGGATGCCTTGACCTGCTTTAGCAGCTCTGTCTGTTTAAGATGTCAGCCTCAATGTCAGGAATCCCTCCAGTGCWGGAGACCTCCCGTTCTAAATTTACTCTCCAGGTTTATGGTCCCTCCTCTGTGGCTGCAGCAGGAGGCTCCTTTTGTGACTCAGGTAACCCTTTGTGCTCATAGGAGCTGCTGGCAGGGTCCTGGCAGACTGGCTGCCACCATGTGCTCTTTTGTTGCTGCTACATATGATCAAATTCARATAAAATCCTGTCATTCTAGTTAGATTAACAGCCTGTTTTTGAAACTTTGTAATTTTGATATCCCAAGATGCTGATTGGGTCTTGGACCAAAGTACAGCAGGGCACATGTTATTTTGTCACTTYGTACTGGGAAAAACTGGGAAACACATTAGTTAACATAAAAAAGAAATTCAAGCAAATAATTTTCCCCCTGCTTGTGGCAGCTGAGCAGTATGAGTGGTATGTGCATGTGTGTGCACATTTTGGGRGGATGTTGACAAAAGCCAGCTTTAGCCCCACTGACTTCTTGAGGCCATTGCAGAGTACCTAAAGTGACTCTTCTGTTCCATATTCTTCCTAAAGGAACCTTACTCTCTCATTTTATATACAGAAGATGAGACATTTGTTTTCTTTACAAAATTTTTTTTATTCTACTTCTACTGAAGTATGTACTCCTGACTCACGGGCCTTTTCAGTGTATTACACAGGAAAGGTCACTGGAAATCTAAAAGCACTTTTTAGAGAAAAAGATTGCTTCTGCACAAAGCAGTAATGATGGAAAGTTGATCAGAAGTTTTCTCTAATGCCTCATTATTTGATCTGTGACCTTATTTCATCCTTCAAATGGTCCTTGTCACCTTGTAGTACAATCATATTATGTAGCAGAAAGTTAATTGCTTTGTTCAGTAAGGAAAAAACATGACTGTGCTGTTAAGTTCCATTGGCTGCACTGTGGCAGGAGAGAACCTTGTAAGCAGTATTTATTAACAGGGCAAATATTTTTCTTTGTGCTAAACTCAAGTCTTACATGCTGCTCTTTTGTAAAGGATTAATTTACTACTAAATTTACTTTTGTGAATTACCAAAGTTTTGAATAATAATCTTTAATTTCTCTCCTGACATGACTTCTTTGCTTGATGGTGTTTAAGTACTGCCTGGGATTTTATGATGTGACTCGACTTGCAAGTGTTGTAATGCTCTTTTCTCTCCCATTTTGTCATATACAAACATGCTATGAAACCCATTTACAGAGTAGCTTCTTTTCAGCATTCTGACTACACAGCTCTGCTGCCAAGCCTTGGGATGGAAGCTGCTCGCCTGCAAAGAGCAGGAAAATAGTGTTTAAAACATTTAAAGCATTTTCATTTTCTTCTGCTGAGGAATTGGTTASTGATCATTGCTGGAGGGAGAATGGTGGGACCATGGGTGAATAGTCTGATCTGGTACTACAAATCCCATGCTCCTACTATTATATGGAAAGGTATCATTTTCAATATGGTATCTGTATGATTCATAGTTTGTTAATCTTAGTATAGACAGGTCTTGTACTAGTCCTTTTAAGACTTTTCYTTGTCTCAGCCAATTTTACTTTGCTGGCAGTGCAGTTATTTCACATTTAACTCACCAAGGGAGCTGCCATGTGAGACCAAACCATGATTAAAAAGGTAGGATTCAGAACTAAGACACCAGCTGCAGCTGTGTGATAGAAGATTTAGTCCTCAGTTTGGGGCTTACAAGAGTTGCAGTTGTAACTTGTTGATTAAAAGCCCCTTAAATTGAAGCTATTTCCTTCCTATGATAGAAGAGTGGCAGGACACCATTTGGGCTGCTAATGCATTTCTTCTCATGTTCTTTRTCTTGGACTGGTGATGAGCCACCAGAGAGTTTGGTTTGTTGTATGAGAAGGAGGTTATTGCTTCTTCAGGAACACCAAGTTGGACTTTGCATTTAGGTAACAGGCATCAGATAGATGTAATTTTTGTTTGCATGTGATTACCAAATACCCTCCAGCACTGAGTCACGYGAATTCAAAGTTATGTTGCATAAAAGAGGATGTTGCTATTTTGGAAAGTCTTTTGTARGTAAATTTTTTATGTTATTTCATTGTTGTGAAAATGCTCTGCTGATGTTACTCAAAAAAGAGAAAGAAAAAGTTAATGACAAATAACAGATCATAGACTGACCCAAAAAGGGGCAGTCTTCCAAGAAAGAAGAGAAACTTTGGAGTTCTTTCCTTGTTATATTTTTGGACAATGCTAAACCCAGGCTGTGTTTTGAAGAATTTTTTTTTTTTTTTGTGTTCCAGCTTTAAAGCAATTTACTTACACCTAGAGAAATTTGAGACTGTGCTTGTTGAATTCAAAGGAGACAAGTGTGACTTGATGCTGCCGTGGTTCTGCTTTGTAAAATTGCATGTCAAGAGGTAAATAACATATAGATAAATAACATACAGACAGGTTTTTACCAGCCTTACTATTTTAGACTAGGATTATACAAAAAGGCTCTAATGAGATCATTAAGGGCCCAGCCACACCMAGCAGCTGCTGGGGAAACTGAGGTTTCAAGACTCATGTTTCTTAGTTAATTTAAAAAGTAAAAATAACTTGTGTTTTATTTTAATCACAGGTCGCCTTTACTTGGTTGATACAATAGGAGGAGATCCAGAGACTCTGCAAGCAGATGCTGAAACATACTATGAAAAACTCTTGAAGAAATCATTGTCCACTCCTGATGTTTTTTCCATCCCTGGAGGAGGAGAGGTATTAGGCTGATGTTTCTCATGCTGCAATTTAGATGCTTGCAAATTAGTTTGTTGGCTGTGCTCATGTTAATAGGGGCCTTGTTAATAGGGGTAAACTGGTGTGGCTGGACTGTAGATCTCTTAAAATCAGCAAATCCTGCATTATTTCAAATTGTTTGCATGCTGTAAATGAGAGATAAGCTGAAACTCCAAGTCTGAAACCCTCTGAGTGTGGCAGAGGGTTTGAAGTACTTTGGTGAGTTTTGCATCTTGACCTGCCGCCCTACAGGACTGAATCAGGAGTGTGTTTTTTCGAGATTTGTGCTACAGTGCAGCTCTGTATTCTGCCTCTCCTGTGCACAGGCATTATGATACAGTATATCTTTTGTTTCCATTCTTTCCAATACTTAATATTGTTAATTTTGAGTCTGGATTCTCCCAAGGGATTTCTGTTCCTAAGACGCCTGGGTGGAGTGGAGATGASTGAACAGGTCTATTTACTTCAGTCAACCTATGAAACCTTTAATTCTGGGCATTTTGTAGATCATAAAAGGCATGCTGAGCTACCTGTTATTATCCTATCAAAGCAGAAATTGGATTAGTTRAAATAAATGTTTGGAATACGGTAGCTTTTCTGCAGTTTAGGAAAATAATATGCAATAGTTTCCAGAAAAATGCTGTTGCTGATGGGTTCAGCTACGGCTCTGAGCCGGGAATGTAACTGGGTTTAAATACTCTTTTAATGCCCTCTAGTGGAGCCTGTAGGGTTAAATACAAACAGACTGAACATGCAAATATCACCAGCTCAGGGCTTCTGTGTCCTTACCTCAGCCTTCCATGCCTGGCTGTGCTTTCAGAGGTTCATTTGCTGTTCCAGGAGAAGGGAGGGAGGTTAAAATCCCAGGCRGTGCTTTGTGTATTTCTGCAATGACACCACGCAGTGAGAGCAGTTAAAGGTGGACTTCTGGCTTTTGATTCACAATTGTCTTGATTTTATGGCTTGTCACCAGCCCTTAAATATATCACATGACTGATTTGAGTCTCATAGCAACACATTTCTCTTTGCATTCATTTAATTCAGGTCTAATCTGCAGTCAGACAGCCAGTCAAGGGCATAAGTAATGGTAGTGTTCTTGCTCTATTGTCTTTTTCCTTATACTCTATAATAAATAGCTCAAATGTTGATATTTTATAATGAAAAATAATTTAAATGGACTAAGGCAAACACCCCATTCCCAGTGAACATCCCAGCTAACAATCTCTAGTCTATACCTACAGCCTGAAGGATCAGGGATTTGGTGTTTGAATAATGGCTGCATTACCAAGCTTTCCCCTCCCTGCATCTGAATTAAAGCAGGTTTCAAGTGGCAGGACTGGCAACAGTGAATAATTATTTAGCAGGACTTAAGTGGCTGTCAGCCCACTTGCTGGGGTCACAGAACTTCTTTTTGGTATGGCTTGGTGAAGCATCCAGAACACAAATAGCAAGGATTATTGCGAGTCAGGATGGAAGCCCGTTGGCAGCACTCACACACAAAGCTATGCTTGGCTCCTGCTGCTGTTGTTAACACCTGCAAAAGTGCACATTGCCTTATCAAACAAAATAACAATCGTGGCAGTATTGGAAGGAGTACTGGCCTTTTATTTCATTATGGAAATACTCTCATGTGCCACAATGACATCAATGCTGTTGTGTTTGAAACATGCAGAGAMCGACCGAATCCCCAGAACATACTGAGATTTAGGCAGGCTCATGAATACAGATTTCAAGCAGTTTTCAAGGGTTATTTTTTCCTGGAGTCCAGTGTTTTGCATAGATGCTTCCAGGATTCTGGCACTCATCAACTAGTGAGCACTGTTTTCAGGTTAGAGTTGTTATCCTGAGTAATCCATATTCATACTTCTTCCATGYACCAAGAAATATTAAATGTAACACGTGACTGATTTGAGTTTCATAGCAAACTGACAAATGGGTGCAATTAGAGAGAGAGGCACACCCACACATACACAATGGACCAGATTTTGGAAAGTACAGTACATACTGTGCTAAGTCATGCACGCTCTTTGCCTGTACCTAAACTTACATGACAGCATTTGCAATATTCATATGGAAATCGTCATTTCTATGCATATAGAGCTGTTTGAGCACAGTAATTTTGTGTTTGTGTCACATAATTTAGAAGTTCAGTCTAAGAGCAAAAGCTTGAGAGCTGCATTTTGATTTTAGCTTTGCCTTCAGCTTAACCACCTTGTGCCAATTATCTACCCTCCCTGTGCCTTGCAGATAAACTGCCGAGGCACTGCCCTAATGCTTTGATACTCCCTGTACCCTGAGGATTAATTCGTTGTTTGCAAAACACAAGCACTCAGCTGGAGGATGCTGTAAGAAGTGCAAGTTGTATTTGTTTTCATTTGATGTGTCTGGTCTTTTCATAACACCATTTGTCTGCGTGTGACAGTGTTCAAAGCCAGGTCRTGTACTAACCAGAGCAAGTCAGCTTTAAGATCTTCACTAACTTCAGATGCTTGATTCMTTTTAAATTAACTTTCCTTATGGATAATATTAGAATATTATGTATATTTCAGTGCCTTGAAGTTGAGGATTGAGAGGGTGTTGTGCTAAGCTTGTACTATGCATGTCAATAAAACATGTCATAAGTGCATCTACTATGTGAAGTACTTCTTGTGAGCTTTGCAGTACAAAGAGCTACAGGGCTTGTTTGTTTTTTAGGTTAAACTTGAAGATTCCTGTGTGTGTTTTGTCCCTCTCTACCGAAATAATCCTTCTTGCAAACTGTTGCTGTTAACTGATCCAAAGGATAAAGAGACAGGTTAGAATTGGTCAAAATACTTTGAAATTTGAGTAGTTGTAATTTCTTTGCCTTTAAGATAGTCTGCTTGTTTATGTATTTGAATATTCTGGGTTTTGTTTTGAATATGAAGTGTTTTCAGTTTATCTGTCAAGGATATGTGTCAGTGGGCTGCTGATTACAAGGAAGAATTGACAATCAGGGCTTTTAAATTCTGTGCATAAATTCTCTGCTGGTAGCTGAAAAATCACCTTGGGTAAATCTGTTATTCTTTCTGACTTTATTAAACAGAGCAATATTTTTCTGATTCAGAATGATGTGAAATATAGCACATTATAGTTTGGATAGAATCCTGAAATGCTTAAACAATACAGATATAAAATTATATTGCTTCTTACTGATTCTTAACTCATATTCTTTTCTTATTTTTTTTTATTTTTTCCAGCCCTAGGTTTAATTGCCTTTTATTTCCAGGTGTATGAGGCATGTCTACTGGTGTGTAGTTTAAATGAGGAGTGTTGGTGTTGTTGTGAGGCAATTGCCTGTAGACTTTCTGGAATATCCACAATGAGGACGTGAACTTTTGCATTGACTCACTGTGCCACTTAGGAAATACAGAACACATGAAACCTCTTAAGCTTCCAGCTTCCAAGTGTGGCAGCAAACTAATGACATCTGTCATTAAAAGGATACTTTTTAAAAAAGGATAAGTTATAAATTATGCCTGAAATGCTTTAATAGCCAGTATTCTTAATGATACAGCAAAGGCAAGGCAAAATTTTAGCATTCTCTGTTCAGTTCTGAAGTGTGTCAGGTAATGATCTTACACTCCTAGAACAGATTATTTTAGTGTAAGTGTTCATTGTTCARTCCTACCCTGTAACCAGGAAATTTCTTCAGAAGAACAAAAAGCAGATTAAAATCACCTGTGGTTAGAGGTGAACTCTGCAGTTTTCCAGCTCCTTCTATGTGGGATTTCAATTGGACCTTTGCTAATGGGCTGTGATTCACAGTAGAAGGTAAGAGACCTTTCCAGGTTCCACGTGTAGTCAAAAGACTTTCTGGTCCCTCTGAAACTATTGATGTAGAATTACTTTTCTGACACTAATTTATATATTCCATTTATGTTTTTCTGAAGAGAGATAGGCACTGGTGTGATAAAGGAGAGAAGCATCTACRCCAGATTCTCTTAGTGCAGTTGTGCTCACTTCCTAGATTCAAAGGAACATAGCTGAAAACAGCACTGAGTTAGTTTAGGCTGCACAGAGGAATTGGGATCTGTAACTACAATGCAGAAAAAAAAAGAATCATTAAATAAATGCAAGTGAGAGTGCATTTAGCACAGCTCTTCAGTTAAATGATCTCATAGTATTAGGAACAAGAAGTATTAATGAGATACATGCACACAAGGAAAAATGATTTCTCACAGGAACAAGTCAAACAAGTCCAATTGGAGCCTAAATTACATGATAGCTATCTTCATTAAAGGCTTAAACCTAGCAGAATAAACACCTCATTATATTACAAACAACAGCCTGACTGACTGCTGTGACCCCCTTGCAAAATTTCAGTTTAAGTTACCAGTCCAGAGTCAGAGGACCAGAGAGATCAGTAAGTCTGCTTATTTAAATAAGGCTTACATCACCTGGCTTTTGATCTTTCCTTCCAAAAGTATGATTTAAAGGATTTTACTGGAAGTTCTTTGTTTCTGGATTTTATATATTATAAACAGGGGGCCAGTCTTCCTGCACACATCAAATTTGACTGATGTGATTTTTTTTTTTTTTCTTTAGATGAATTTTAATAGATTTCCATTAGTTCTCTAAATCCTGCTGGGTTGTGTGTGCATACCTATGTATATGGCTGTACACATTTGAAGTATTTTATCCTAAAGTTTTTTTCCAGAGTTCAACAGATTTGGAATTAAAGTGGCAGACTGTGCTAATGTGGCAAGTCCACCTGGATTTGCTTACCTGCATGACCTTTTTGTCTGACCAGTGAACAGATCAAATTGATTCAAAAATGATTCCTTCAGAGAAAGGCAATGTGTATTAACTTAGTCTTTGTTGCTTTAAGGACATTTTACTTTMAGGGCAGAAAATTAAAACATTTAGCAAGTTACATAATTGACTTTTCCTCACTTGAACTTACACTTTTCTTGTGAAACAAGTTTCATCCAGATGGAAGAGGGAAACAATCTTGCTGTAGCTCATCTCTTCTCTTCCTCTGCYTGTCCACTGCATCTGCATTTTAGTTTTCTTCCCCAGCAAAAATACTCTTAGAAGTAAATTTCCTGGTTGTCCCCACAYACTGTGTTTCAGTTTGATGGCATTTAATTCTTTAAAATGGTTTTAAAGAGGGGTGGATTCCACCACTGAGATTTATTTCTGATCATCCTGATCAGATGGGTTGTCCAGAAGTTATGTGTAGCTTGTGGTTTGAAATGATCTGCATATTTCAAAGAGAAAATGGGTATGGCAGCTTTTCCATACAACTTGGTCTTGGTTGGAAGCATTTTTAATTTATTTTTGATGGGCTGAGTGTTGTGTTCTGTTAGTGTATCTGTACAGATATTTTTATGAGAATGTAAATTGYATTGTAAGGGCTTACGGAGCATAACATGGGTGATTAACATCTTTATAACACTAAATAAACAKACCTTATTGTGGCATTTTCTGTATGGTGCATATAATAACTTACAATAACTGTGAGATGTCTTGTGATAAATGTTCCGAGGCATTTGCAACAAATCACTGAGTGAAGCTTGAATTGTAGAAGAAAATGTAACTGGTTGCGGGAAAGATCTGCCTGAGATATTTGAATGGCTGCTATTCCAGCAAGATCTGCCTGCCTCCCAAGCTTTAATGTATTTGTTGTTATAAAATTCCTAGCAAAGAGTGAGAAATGCTCTTATCCCATTTTAAAGACAGGGAACTGGGGGRCTCAGGGTATGTYAGTGCTGCAGAATGCAGTTCAGTGTAGCATTTCTGTGCTTGCTCCAGTATCAGGATATTTCCACTGTGGAAATGCTGCAAAAGCAACTTAAGTGTGTCATTAGTCTGAAATAGTGACAAAATTAAGGTATGGATGACTTTATCTARGATAAATTAGTGGTACATTCTGTATTTATTAAGCAAACTAATTACATCACTCTCATGTAACATCACCTTCATTTAGTTTGTGACTGGTGGATRTGCTTYAGCAATTTTCAGGTAAAGCAGGGGGAAAAAGAAGGACTAAGGTGGGTGTTGCTTCATTTTTTCATCTTTGCTCTGTGTTTAGAGTCCTGATGTGTACATTTCATTTAAATGGTTGCACATCAGTGTGGGAACATTTGGCCAGCATAGCCTAGGAAGTAAAAATATCCCGGCCTGAGTTGGGAAGGGATCCACGTCTGCCCAGCAAAAGTAGACATTTCATAATCAGAATTGCATTATTCTTGGTGCCTTATTCAGCTCAGTCCTGGATTCCACACACTGGGAATCGTGTGCTCYGCTGGCTGTGAGCTTCTTGCAACACCCTGTGTTTGTCTGGCTGCMGGTCATGAAAGTGCTGAGGTTCAGCAAGCTGGTGCTTACAGGGCAAGCCACCCATCTGAGCATCTATAAACCCCATTAACTGTGACCTCAAATGCATTTCACCTTGTCTTGCAAGTGCGAGATCAAGCACATCAAGTCTTGCCGTTGCCAGGTCATTGTAGTCACACACAGCATGGTTCACAGGGTTCACTTGATGTGTGTTGGCAATAACTCCATCTCTTACAATCAGGTGAACTTAACTGGATGTCTTAGGAGGAACAAGAAGYGTGGAAAGGGAGAGAGAAGGAACATGTGGTCTCACAAATCATGTTTGCCTTTAAAAAACAATATTTCAAAGTTGATTATAAAATTAAAATGAGAGTATGGGGAAGCGTGGATGGATTTAACTGCAGACCAGATGTTGACTTGAAAAATGATAACAAAAAGCAAAGTACATATGTTTGTGTGAAATCTGGAGAAATGTTTTTTCCTTCAAGGAAGGCATCCATATAGATAAGGTTGCTCAAGTAATGTGATGTGACAGTTGCTATGTCAACTAGTGTTCCCTTCCACACATTTAAATTATTGAATAGCACAGCAATGTTCTATAAAAGCAACTCCTTCCAACATGGTTATGCATCTTCCTATTTTCCTCAAAGCTTTTARAAACTTTTCTGACCTTTACTATGTGTCTTGTATGTCTGAACTGTGTGCCAAACCTCTTTGCAGCTCTTATTAAAGTCAGCATTTGGCCCATTATGTCCCCTTTGTGTGACTCAGCTCCCTTTGTAGCTGCATGTTTCATGGATGTGTAATGGAGCAGTGGCTGCTGCATTTGAAAGCAGAGGGAAGGGTTTGAGGGAACAGATTGAATCCATCACAGAAAGAGTATGAAACTCCCATGCAAGTAAGTGCATAATATTTAATGAATTGAGTCTGGTGCTATAAACAGGCATCTGCCCTTGCGTGCAATACTTCTTCCTTGTTAACCCAGCATAAAAAGTGTAATGCTTTCTGGCACATGCTTTAATAATTTATTAGAACTATAAGTTAGCTAAGTGGAATCTCCCCCCTTGAAGCCAGCAGGAGTGATAGAGTCTGGAGCAAAAAGGGAAATCAACCTGTGTGCATCAGTGACATTTGTAGAACCTGAGGCTAAAACAGATAAAGATCACTCTTGTCCTTAAAGTAATTTTATTTCCTCATCTGTGAATTTGTTTCTAACTCACAGATGGTTTTGATCTTTCTTATGTTTGTCCCTAGCTGGGTAGGTTAGAGAGCCAGTTGTTGGAGCACTCTCTTAGGACTCAAGACATGTGAACTCTGTGCTGTTCTTTGCAACTTTCTTGCTAGATGATATTTTATCTTTTTTTATACAAAAATGGACATGCTAGCTGCCCTATTTGAAGATATCAAAGATACTGCTGTTCTTGAGCAATGATGAAATTGTAGCAATGTACTTTAGGTGAATGTCACCGCTGTACAGTTAATGAAAGTTCCTTTTTTGCTAAAATACTTGCTGTTTGATGTGTTTATGATCATAAATGATTTCTGTGTTTATTCCAAAACCTCATCTAAACTCTTAAAATTTATTCTCTGTCATTTGAAATGACCCCATGTTAAAAYTTTGCTTTTTGATGAGGGCTTGTAAGTAATTTCAGTGTCACTGTTGCTGCTTCAAGTCTTTTCCTTGTAAATCTATTGGCAGGCAATGAATTCTGTAGATGAACATGTAGGAGTAGGGTTTAAATACTTGTTCCTGCATATGTGAAAAATTGAGGAAGGATGGGAAGAAGTGGGGTGCAAGTTTTGCATCACACCTACATGGGGACTTGACTTATGTAGGTTGCTGATACACTTTCCCTTCAAGCAAAGTGTATTTTGTTATGTGTGTATKTGTCTGTCCTTTGTTGATGGAAACCTCTCTGTGTGCATTTGAACCTTTGAGAATATCTGTCCATGCAGAGATTTCACAGTCYACTCTAAAAGTACCCTTAGACAGAAATTCAATCACATAGGGAGCTGAAAAGMTGTTTGATAAAGCAGATACAAGATTTTTTGTGTTTGACTTGCATGAGTGCAAATATGTGCACTCAAATATATGCAAAAATGTGTGTGTGGGCAGGGGAGAGTTTGAAAGAAACCTGAAAACTGTAACCTTTATCCAGGTAGCTCCTCTGTCCCAAGTGCCACTCAAACCTACTCTGCTGCTGAACTTACTATTATGCAGGAAGTGCTTTATTCATATGGAACACAGGCTGTCACACCAAAGTCACATCAGTTCCTGAGAAAAATTACCTTCACTTGATGCCTCGTGCAGTACTGAAAATTGGATATCAAGGGACGTGGAGGTGAAATTGAGATRCAATTGTTGTTCTGTCTCACAGCAGAACAGACTGGAGTCAGCTGGAGGGAGAAGTAGATCTGAGGCTGCCTGTGGAAAAAACTGAGAACCTACTTTGACTTTCCTGGTAACGTGTCCCCCTGTCCTTTTGTTTTTGTAGTTTTGGCAGTTTATTTGAGCCAGCGCTGGTGGCCTGTGGAAGATGTTGTGAAGACAGCAGATCCTTCTAGAGATGGGCTCCTTTTGGTGAGGATGCTGTTTGGAACAGTTGGCTTTACCCTGGAGCTTCCAAGCCAGAAAAATCACATTGAATTGTCTCTTCTCTCCTACACCTGTGGGAGCTGGGCTCTGACACAGTGACATGCACATTAACTCTCTCTAATTAATTTTGTGCACGCAGTTTATGATTCATCTGTGGGATTTATTTTCTTTTGGTTTTTTAGTTTACCCTCACTGCCTACTAAAGGAATAATCATAAATTGAATTACTTCATTWGCAATAATTTCTCACATTAAGTGTTGCTTGGCTGACTGTCTGGTGGGAGGTGTTACCAACCTTTGGAACTATGTCATATCTAGCTAGTTCTGATTTTTTTTTCCTTGGATAATGTTTATATTGTGTTCATTTTATGAAACGGTTGCTATTTAGTGGTTTCTATATCTGTAATTCCCTTCCAGATAAATTAGTTTAGTAAGATAGAACTACTTATTCGTAATTTGAAAGATTTGGGTAGCCTGTAATCTGTTTGCAGCTAAAATCTCAGATGTCGGCTGCATGTGAGCTTTGTGTTGCCATGAAGTTAAGTCAATTTTATTTCCTACCCAACCCTCTGTATTTTTGTTCTTTAATGATTCTATTCCTTTATCATTTTCCTGTCACACATAGAGTTTAATTATTTGCAGAATTAAGGAGGCTTTTTATGGGTAACTGAACTGGAGGGATTTTGAGATACTAATCCTTGCAGGATAGACCTTGGAGCAGGAACAGAGGCCATCAGGCTTTCAGACATCCCTGTATCAACAGACAATGAAAATAAAGTCTGAAAATAGAAATCTTGCCCCCTCTAGCTCATTGCTAAAAGGTGAATTGTTGGTATTTGTGGAAACTCTCATTTATTTTTYGGCATTCATGTGAAGCTTGTTGGCACCAGTTTTTACCTTGATGGCCAGTGTGATCTTGTTCCTTTCTATTGCTCCATCTCCCCCTTCTGTCTGTTGTCTTCCAAGAAGAAGACAGAACAGACTATCCAGCACAGACTAATTGTTAATTTTACACCTGGATTATAGCTGTTTGGGACAGAATGTTTTCTGTTTTGTATAGTGTCTATCTCAATAAGGTTCTGGCCCACTGAATTCTTTGATGCTGTGGCAACACAGATATTAGGGGAGAGGTGATCAGGCCAACACAGTGAATCCTATCTTCATTTCACATTTCAGTAGGATTAGATTGCCTTGTTCCTGGTTTCAAATCTGCCTGGTTCACTTTGACTGCAGTCAAGATGCTTCTGCTGCTTTAGAATTCCTTTCAGTGACAACAGGAGATATGTCAAGCTTTATAAATAGTTACTAAATTATTCTGTGCCCGCTGGATAGAGGGTGAAGCACTAGGAAAAGCTGTTTTTGTTATTCTAGCTGAAACAACTCAGGAGGTATTTTCCCCAAATTAAGTGTACGTGTTTYCTGACCGCCTCCTTCCCAGSCTCTTTTGATTTTGCAGCCTTTTATGAGATGCAAAATGTTATTCKCTGCCTCATTTTTCTTTGGTCTGTTTTTGTTTGTTCTCTAAGGTCCAGACATTTGGAGAAAGGATTGTCCTCTTTGTTCTGAACTGCATTATTTTTGGAATGCTGGAAGGGAGTTCAGCTAATGATGCATTCTTTCTACCTCACTCTGCCACCGAGCGTGCCAAGATACTCTGGAGAAACGGCGAGGCTGCTGCCTTTTACTCGGTCAAGATGAAAGGTAAGGTCAYTTTAGAGACACATTTCCACATTTCCTAATAGCTAGAAATGTAATCCTTTTGTTTATCTTTCAGTATAAATAATCCTGGCTCTCATTTACATTTTTATATGAAATCTCCCTCAGAATTAATCTGGGTAACAAACCTTCCCAGAATTTGGAAGCCATCCATGTTACTTTCATTTAAACATGATAGTTCCAAGCCCTATTCTGATCTGAAGTACTGGTTTACTCCAGTAAAAAATGCTTTAATGCAGCCAAGTAGAAGGTTGTATATCTAGGAACAAAGAATGTGGGGCCTATCCACAGACTGGAGGACTGCATCCAGGAAAGAATGATACCTGAAAAAGAAGTGTAAGTCCCAGTGGAAAAACATTGTATTGGAARTTGGTGGTGGCCAGAAGAGGGAAGATCCTTGGGTGTGTAAGGAGCAGTGGCTGTGTTGTTTAGAGGAGGGTGTGTACACTAGATCATGCTGGAATGCTTTGTGCACTTGTGGTAATCCCTGTTTAAAGGATKTTGATTAATGGATTTCATAATTAATTGATTAATAAGCATAGAAAAGAAACAAAATGTCTTTTAATCCTTTAGGGATGCTTGATTGGCTTTAGTAAAGGTCTTTTATTAAACAGTCTGCATTAATGCAAATAATTGCTGTTAACCAGTTTGGAGTGGAAGAGCTTTAAYTGGATTAGGTCCAGGTATGTAGTTGAACCTGTGCCCCCACACAGGAGCTGGATACCAGTCTGTGTTTAAGGTTCATGGGAATCACCTTGATAGCAGCAGCTTAAACACAGAGAAGGTGGGATCTTTGGAAGTGAAAGGCATTGTCCAGGTCAGCACTCAGTAGCCATCCGTCCAAAATTGGAGAATAAGAAACCACTTGGGAGATGGGTTGTTTTTGGATTCCAGAGGACAGTCTGAAGGTGCCTGCTCTGCTGCAATCCCAAAGGCCAGCAGCAATAAGATGTTCTGCTCCTTGGGATGGAAAAATCCTAATATTCACAGAGGTGTGGCTTTTACATCACCGTGCTGGTGCTGCTGCACCATCAATGATGCATCAGGGCTCAGCCAATGATCAAGGAGACTTGTCTGAGTCTCTGCTCATTATGCTGATGAACTGGTTTGTAATGGCAAACACACAGTGCATTTTCCTTTAAGTCCATAAATATTCCTGAGCAAAGCTTTTGGAAGGAAACACTTGTAGGGGCTGTAATGATTCATGCTTCAGTAAAATAAATGTGCACAGTAGTCTGTTATGGGTGGAGTATTAGCCAAGYTGAAACTGTTTCTGAGTAAGTTGAGAGTCACAGTTTGGTTTTAAACCAGGTCCACATAAAATRCAAATCCTTCAAGTCCAGCTTTGTCAGCATCTGCCTTTTCTTGCCAGTGKTTTTTTTCTCTGGGCAGCTATATTTGTTACTTTTTGGCCTGTGTCACAAATTACTGCAGTCTTTTGCCAAAGCCTTTTCGGGAAGCTTGAAACKGATTGTTTTTGTTGCTTTTTGCTGTTTGATGTATGCATTTAGAAAATAATTCCTCTCTCTGAAGTTCTGTGATTTCMATTTCATACCAGCCATGCTGTGGTTGATCCTATTCTCTCTACTTTATAGAAGAGCCCTGGATTTATTAGGCCCAAACCAAACTAAGATAAGTATCTTCACTTAGAAGTTGTATTGCACATAGTTGTTTTAGGTATTTTTATCATTTTTGTTTTTTAATCATARCGTAAATTCTTTTTCCTTTTGCTGTCCAGGTCAGAACATTTAGTAGAGGCAGCTTTAGCTACAGGACTTTATATTGTGCTGGACCTCTGTTACAGCTTCTGGTCCTAGGAAAAAGTTATTTCCTTTGTGCCCACCATGTGATTCAGATTCCCTTTATTTCCATGCTCTGCAATTACCTGACCATTCTTTCCAGCTTTACTTTCTTCAGTGGCTAATTGAGTTTCTCATATTGATGTTATATTCGGCTGTATTTCTCATCTGTGAATTTTCCACTATCTACAGCATGATAAAAAACATGCTTCAGTGGAGGCAAATAAGCCAGAAAAGGTCTGTGGAACATGGCTGTTTCAAACRTAAGTCTTCTGGGTGAATCACAGAAGTGGTGACCAAGGAACAGAGTCTGTTCTATCTTTACTACAGATTTAATGTGCCATTATGCAAACTGAATTTTCAATGGACTTCAGTGATTCCAATTAACTATCTTGGCAATATTGTGAAGTCATTTCCATTTGCCAGTTCCTAGGTGGCCTGTACAAAGTGAACTTGGTGATTTTGGTCCAGTTCCATGCTTCCATCCATCTTATGACCGTCCTTAACTGGATCTCTTTTAATAGTCTGGCTAAGGAGGGACAGATGGTCTCGAGCACCCGCCTTGCTCAGAGATGCAGTAACTGCAAGTCAAGGTTTCGAGACAATTTGGCCACTTCTGGCATTGGCCACCCTGCACCTGTTGTGTAGATAAACAGAAGACTCATTCTTCAAGGCTATCACTTTTCGTGAGCATTAGACACCTTTATTAAAGCAAAATTTATTCATGACTACACAGATCATCAACTTGGCCTCTCTGGAATGTGCCTATTCCTGTCCAATGATAGGCATGCAGCCTTTACCACTGGGTATACTAAAGATTGATGAGATGTACTAAGCCACTAATGAGGCTGATAAGACACTTTGTCACGTGCCAAGATAAATGTCTCCAATTTTATCTATGTCAGCGGCTTCCATATCAGACAGCTGAGCAGTTAGACCTCACTAAATTGAGCTACTTAAAGGTACAATAGAAAATGACAGTTCCCCGCTTCCTGTACCTTTCTTTGCAGGCAGCAACCTGAAAATGAAATATTTTGTGGAAAGCCTTCATATAGATCCTTGGGGTTTGGGATCTGTTTTATATTGCTTGAAGTATTTTTCTCATGCTCTGTGTGAAAACCTCAGAAAGAATGTGTTCTGTGTAGTGATGTAGGATTAATTACCACGGTTACTGACACTAGTTTCTTGTGCAGTGAGACAGTGTAATTCCCTGAAAGTTTTTCTTTTTTTTATTATTGAGGACTAGTAATTACTGAAAATGGACTTTTACCATCTTTGCATGAATGCCAGAATGCAGAAGATTCATGATGCAAATAAATCAATAAGSAAGTTGGAGGATGCAGTAAGCCAGGAGTGTCTTAGTGCTTTTGAGAACAAACCAGAACAAAATCCCTTTTTTAYAGACCTCTGTTTTTTCCCCTACTGTTACGTATTACTGCCTCTGTAACACAYATGAGCTGCCCAAGCTGTCTGCGGTAAGAAAAACAAAAGAGTCAGATTGTCAAAGCTTGTGCCTTCCCTCCTGACAAATGTCAGTAGTAAAAGTGTGGATTGATGTGACTCAAACTGGACATAACCAATTTGAGTCCTCTGAGAAGGCTGTAACACATGCAGGTGTATCAGGAGTAAATGCATTGTTGACTTCTCATTCATTCTTTAGAGCTGCTGCACAAGTCACAGCTGGGAACACCTGACTGCAAAAACTCTTTGCTTACTGACATGGAGTAAGCAAAAGAGCAACCCTGGTCCAGTCTCTGTTTTTGTCTACACCAGAGCCTTAGAGATGGTCTTTGGAAGTGGCTTCCTGAGCTAAAATTCATTTCACATGTTTCTCCCTACAAGTCTTTGGAAATTTCTTTTGATACTTGTGGCCCAGGTGCCATTCTCTAGAAACAGAGCCTTAAAAAGACAACAGGATTTTATTTTTTCATTGATTACATACATTTCTTTTAGAAAAAAAATACTAGCATTGGAGTTAACCTGATGGACAATTTGCTGAAGTCTTGTTGAATAATTGCTGTTGTCTCCCTCTGTTTGCTAGCAATAATATTTTTAATATGCATTTCTGAGGCAGATTGAAGGTTCTGGCTGTAATGAAAATAAAATGACTACATACCAGTCAAGACAWGAATTCATTTAATTTTATTGAAGCCAGAACCTTTGTTCCACTTCTCACATACAAACTCACACAATGGGTTGACCTTGGGTTCTGCTCTGCAGAAATATTCCCCACCCTTTACACAAGCACTCAGCCTGCTCGAGGCCTGTCCAAACATGTGTGTGCCAAGCCAACTTGTTCAGCAGGGAAATAGTCAGTGTGCAAAACCTTGTTTTATTTGGTTCTGTTGGATGTGGGGACCAGATTTTTTTTTTTTTTTCTGGTTTGCGACTCTTTGGGAATGCTAATGGCTGTCTGCTTTCCTGCCCTTGTAATATCTGTTTGCCATTTTGCTGGCTCCTAAGTTGGTCATTTGGCACTTGTGACCTAACCAAGAAGATCAAAGGCTTTCAAAGGGCAGACTGTATGAATGCTTCCCTCTCCATCATCACTAATGCCCTTATTTTCCCTGTCTCCTCYCTCACCTCAAAACTTTGTCTGGGTGTTGCAGCAATGAAACAAACCTCTCAACCAAATGTGTGAGAGCCCAGTGGCCACCTCCAGACCACCATTAGCTTACGGTAACCTTGTGCTATTTGGTGGGGAAACAAGGACAAAGTGGCCTTTGTTCCAAAGGTTGGTTTGTTTGTTTATTTTGTTTCAAATGCCTGTGGGCTGTGACTCTCCTAATATGTTTCCCAGGGACAAGGTGAAGAATAGCTTCATGGTTTCTTTATTTACAGTGCCTTTAGACATGACAAGTTTTTGTCATCTTCTCAACACAAAATTGGGAGCTCAGGCATAAATCACTCGGCTCCTGGGATTGCTGCGCAGCACTCTCATCAGGATTTATAGGAGACAGACTATATGAGATAATAATGAACTTAAGGAACACTTGCAACATGCAGGAATCCTTAAAGAGTTCATGAGCAAAAGTTTCTCTCTTAGAACGTGTGGTGCAATTCTGCTGGAATTCGACGTCTGTCTTGTGTTGGCAGCTAACAATGGGATCAGGGATATACTCAATTTTTTGGCTCATGACAAAAAGAGTAACTACCCATCATGTGTTACAAATATTGAAAGGTTATAAACACCACCACAACCATCCCTGTTCCAACAGTGTGCTGGAACATGTGTTTGCAGTTAAGCATRCACTTTGATTAAGCAGGAGTGAACCAAGCTTAATCAAGATTTGAGTGAATGGTTGTGCAGCTTCATACTTGTACTGTATGGCTCAGTCTGTGTGATGTTGATTCTTGCTAAATGAAGAGTTACAACCTTGAGAAATCAGGGTCTACGATTAAAAATAGCCATGTGTGCTGTGTAGAGCTGGCGTCCTAGAAAAGAGTAAGAAAAGTCAGGCCTGGCCAGTATCAGCAAGAAGTGCTGGACACCTACTGAAGGAGCAGAAATAGACTCCAGTTTAAAATAGCTATGGGAATGTGGCAAAGAAAAAATGGATCTAGGAAGTGAAAATTTATATTGGAAATTAGGAATAGCCATTCAATATGAGATTAGTAAAATAATTAAATAGGTCTTAGGGAAGTGATGAAAGCTTCATGTCTCAAGACACTGGAAACTAGACTGCGTCTGGTCCACTAGGAAGTAGTAAGAAAGAAAACCAAGAAGATCTTGATGAGATGTAAGCAGCAAAGTATGATGCAAAAATGTAACCATTTTTTTTTATACAGGCCTGGCTATCCATTTGTATTTAACCTGCCATGTGCTAAGAAACAGCATAAAATTTTCATAAATATTTTCTAAAAATTAAAAATCTGCAAGGTTTTTCTATGGGGTCCTTAATCTATATGTAGGTAGTTAGTGAACTGATGTTGCCCATTCATTTCGGGATTGAGTGCTTATGCTGTAAAGTAATTTGAAGTTCTGTTTTTATGGTATTCCATGCTGAATGGAAGTGCAGCAATAGAACCCAAGGTTGGTTAGGGTGAACATCAAAATTTTGGTTGCTGTATGTCTGTTCTTAATAAATTCTGTCCTGACTCCAGTTTGAGTTTACCATTTGTGATTGCAAAATAAATCCCTTGGTTCTGTGTTTTGGTTTGGTTTTTTTTGCACAATTTTCACTGAGAAAATTTTAATAGTTTGGAGGCTTGTGCTTGAGTCTGTATTTTGTCCACATGTAGAGCATTATGTCATGACCCCGTGATTTCTGTTAACTGACTGAATGTGTTTGTTAGCAAGTACTGTCCTTGAGTGAAACCCCTGGTTTAACACTGATGGTGGTAGCTTGGGTGGTGKACTAGAAGCACCTACATGTGTGATAAATTACCACTCAGTAGAAATTGAGTGACTTACAAARGAGCTCTGACAGTGCTTTCTTAAAATGCACCACTCCATTGTTTATTTAAAGGAATATACTGACATTACATTCAGCATATTTCTTTGGTTATAGACCAGTTATATCTTTTCAGTGAGCTCTCCTATATATGTTGTCTGTGTACCAAGATGATGTGATTATGAAAAATCAAGAGTCTGGAAAATACTCTGCTAAGACCTTTCAGCCACATGTTAGACAGGTCCACTCTATTTCATGGCATAAATCGTCCTCCTGAAAAATGTTTTACTGTCTATGCAAATACACCTCAGGTGGGATCATCCTCACATGCCATGGAAGGGTACTGTGTGTGGCTGAAATCCCACAGCAGTTAGTGCAGCAACACCAGTTTTGTTTGCAAATTGATGTATTTTTCCCTGTCTGTTTTCAGGGAGCCTGTGTGATGGTGCAACCAGTCAGTGTTACCTGCTGCCAGTTTTGGATACTATATTCGTCCAGAGAAAGTACAGAAGAGGTGGCCTAGGGATGAAAATGTTGCATGATTTCTGTCAGTCTTTCCTGGCTGAGGATGCCTTGGGGATCAGCTGCCCTATTTCTGCTGCCATGTATCAAGGTAAATGGTTTGATGTGGACACGTTAGGTAAGGGTCATGTATAATGTATAATTTTCAATATGGTCTTGGTAAGATTGTCGTAACCGTGCAAGAGTTCAGTGCCCTTGTCTGAACTGAGCCCTTGTTAGTGTGCAATTGGTTACTTTTCCAGAGACATCTGGAATTTCCTGGGRAAAGGTAGGCCAGTGTTTATGTAAGATAACGAGAAGCACAAAACCCATAGTGCCTGTTTGACATTTTGTGTTCCTWGAACTGTTCTCTCTTAGAACTGTGTCATTGTCCCAGACAGGGACTTACACATTTTATGTGACACCACAGGGAAAAGAATCATAAGATCTTGTCAAGCCCACACTTTGCACATAATGGTCTGGTAGATATTCCATTTTTACGAAATTACATTTAATAAGCCAAATACCCAGGCTCTACTCAGTCATCCAGTTACATCAGTGCTTGTTTTGTATCAACTGTCTTTGAACATTTGTCACTTTTAAAAGATCACAAAGTAGTCATGTATCTTCTCTGTCTTCAGGTCGAAGTTCTGGTTTTGCTGGTAAAATTCACGGAAAATATCTGCCCTCACATTATTTATAAAACTGACTTCTTTAGGAAAGTATTTTTTTTTCCGAGGTTGCTCTTTGTGTGGTGCAGTCTTCACCATCATTTTTGATTCCCTTACAGTTTTCCAGTTATTTTCTAGTAAGTGTCACTAAAAATTTGGCCACATCTGTTTTTTCACTTGGACAAGTGCCATTGAATGTATACAAAGGTACCCYAATGTATACCAAGGTACCACAGCAGGAAAAAATCCCCTTAAATGTTTTGAACTGTTCTTCAACATGTGCCTCCTCTTGAGGCACACATCCTAAGAATACCATTAAATAGGACATATTTCAGTTTGATAACATAAGCAAACCTAAATTTGATTGTTTATCCAAATTACATGGATGGTCAGCGTGTACTGGCAGTGATAGGAATCTATGGGAAAATGATTTCTGAAAGTTATTATATATCTGACACAGGTATCCTGTAGTTTTTTGGTTGGTTCTTAACCTTTCTTTTCTTTTTTCACACCCAAAGAAGTAAATGAACCTAGCAATAGGGTCTAGGGTAGCAGCAGTGAAAAGGAGGGTGATTTTGGCCCAAAACCAAACTGAAGCAGAGCTTTCCTTTATAAACAGAAATTAAAGTAGCATTCTGAATGGTTAAAGCTTCAAGGTTGAGTAACACCTTTCCTTTCAGAGTAGTGAGGGTGAAAAACACCACAGTGCTGTTAGTCTGAAACCTGCTGAGTGTCTGGACATTGCTCTGTGCTGCAGTGGCAGAAGAAGGTGCTCAATCATTTCAAGTCCTTTATTTCTGCACTCACAAGGAAATAATCTAGACTGAAGCAGATGGACAGGATGCTCTCATGGATGTTTAGGCCACTCCAAAAGACCTTTGCTAAAAGCCCCAGCTAAAACAAAGAGGAGGAAGATGAGAAAGGAGAAGAAAGATTTCCAAAGGAGCTGATGAAAGTAGGTCTGAGCGAATTTCTGGGATAGAACACRCTCCCTCTTCCACTGTACTTTTCACTCATTCCTACTTTTACCCCTTGGTTTCTCCTATGCAGTTTGCCAGAAATTCCTGCAGGCTTATCCAGAGGAGCAGAAGCGACTCTGGGAGGTGGAAGCACCAGGAGATTGGAGCCAGCGAGTGAATATCTGGTTAAAAATTCAGATGGAGCCATCCCCTTCAGGAAGTGAGTTAAAACAGTGTCAACTTGTCTGTGTTAYAGTTGTGTAAAGATAAAAAGTATAATCAAGGTTTGGGTAGTGAGCATGGTGAGGTGCTGTCTCTTGTTTGCACATGGAGAAACTCCTGAGTGTGCAGTCCAGTTCCCTCCTCTTTTCACAGTAAACAGGACAATTCTTAGAAATTATGAGATAATGAAATGGAACCACAGAGCATCTGAGAGATTCTGAACAAAGCACGGCCTTGGCATAAAGTGGCTGTAACTCCTGTTGGAGTGCACTTAGAGCAAAATAGAAGTTAGCCCAAAAAAATTCCTGTTGCACAACACATTGTCTGGGTTATAGACAGGGGTTTGTTTCTCTGAAATTGTTACAAAGAAGAAATTTGTATGGCCAATTGGCAGTGTGTTTAATTACCTTCAATTACTGCCAATACCATTCTTGGATGGAAACACAAAGGTTTTCATTATGGGTTTTGGAAGATTCCAAGTACTCTCCTACAGGGTAAATCCTTTTTGCTGGGAGCATTTTCTGCCTGCTTCACAAAAGGTATTGACAGAGTAGGGAAACCTTTTGAGGGTTCGTACAGGGATCTTGTTGATGTAATGTGTTCAGCTGGTTGGAGSACCCAGCCAGGCCTTCTGCTGCATGCACACAAGCTGTGATAAACTCTGGGTTCCAAAAGAAGGGCACACATTGTCCCTTTCTGGAAGTGCAGCAAGGAGTGCTCCAGACTAAATTGCTCCCATGCCTTCCCACATCCATCCTGCTCTGTTTTGGCTCGGGAACCTTCCGTTGAGACACCGCGTTTCATCTTGTCTGCAGCACCCACAGGAGAGTTAAATCAGACTTTAGCCCTAGGCTGGGTTCCTCTGAAGCCATTATATCTGTGTTCCTCATGCTTTAAACCAGCAAAACCTGGTGTTGCTCTTTCCTTTAATCTTGTTAAGTGAAGTTTATTAATGGCAACTGAACAGAACTATGATCAGATCAAAACCCAGCAGGTCCTGGGGGAGAGGATGCTTTCTTTTTTCTTTCTTCTATTTGCCATCTTCTCGAAAAACAAACAGATGAATGACCCAAAGAATGAGGAAATATCATTCCACCAGAATTGCTGTCAGGAAAAAATAGACACGAGGCTGGGGAACTGCCTAGACTGCAGTTTTCCAGTAYGGGGTAAAGTTCTTAGCTGCACCCATTGCAATAGGACAAGGGATAATAATTTTAAACTAAAAGAGGATAGATTTAGGCTAGATAYAAGGAAGAAATTTCTTMCTATGAGAGTGTTGAGGCCCTGGTGTAGATTGCTGAGAGAAGCTGTGGCAGCCCCATCCCTGGAAGTGTTCAAGGCCAGGTTGGATGGGGCTTGGAGCAGCCTGGGWTAGGGGAAGGTTTTCCTGGCCTTGCTGAGTGTTGGATTAGATAACCTTTAAAGGTCCCTTCCAATCCAAACTATTCTATCATTCCATTATTCTATCTTTAGGGGGTCTCTTGGGAAAAAGGGCTTTATTCCTACTTTCTCTGTTATGCAGAAAGCAAAACACAATGTAATTCAATATTGTCARCTCCAATCAGAATCTATGGCAACAACTGTGAAAATAGACAAGACTTGTTCTGCTGTGATTTCTTAGATTCCTGTTGGCATTTGCAATGCTGTGTTTTGGAACAAAGTTACTGAGAAGAAAWATTGAATGTTTTGCTCATATTATGTATTTTTTTTTCCACGTCAATACTCAGGATTGAATACCATTAATGTTCTTGTAAGAATTSTACAGTCACAGATACTCCAAAACAGGTTTCTGTAATCCTGAGGTCAGAATTTTCTATTTTGCAAGGTTGTGTGGCTGCATCTAGTGGCAGTTCATATAAACTGCAGCACTCTGCTGCAGCTGATACTTCAGTTTGGATGTGCACAGATACATAGGCATATTTACACAGACATATTTCTGTCTGCACATGGACATATATCTATAAAAATAAAGCTTTTTAGCATGTCACACGTAGCTGCAGTCATTCATTCCGAATTAATTCTTATTGTTTGAAAAAAAATGTAGAGATTTCGTTTCAGCAAATAGTCTCAGTAACAGGAACATGGTGACATTTCTCTTCTGGGGCTGATTGGTGGAACAGAAATCATTTCACATGGTTTGGTCGTGGTTGCTAAATCTACCCRGCAGTGAACTAAACTGTTTTGAAGTAGTTTAGTAATATACATAAAACATGTAAATGGGAAGCTAATGCAAAACCAAGAAAGCTGAGAAGAATTAAAATAAATTTCAAATGATTGTTTATAATCCTTTATCTAAATCGGTCAGAGTACCTGTATTTTCTGAAAAGGGGAAAGGGATATGGGTTTTCCAGGTGTAAGAGGTGAACAGATTGTCTGTTTAGCAGAGCTTTCAAGACCCAGAGACATTTTGTTTTTAGTATAGTTGTTTACCTTAGTGTTTGGTGGTAGTGTGGTGGGGCACCCTGGTTTGGTTTATTAACAAAAACAAGGCAAGAGGGATTGAAGGTAGCAGTCAGGTAGCATTTTCTGGTATTTTTTTTTTTTTTTTAAGTAGAAAGAGCCGTGCAAATCTGATAATCTTTTGTTGTTTTTCACCTCTTTCTGGGGCACAATATTCACCCCATTTCTCCAGAGGCTGACGTGGGSTCTTGTATGGAGAAGGCTCCACCCAGTAAACCCAGACAATCAGATATGGACCAGATGAATAAGGTACAGTGACTAATATGCCATTTTATGACTTTGTTTTGYATTGATGGCCTTTTCCCTTTTTAGTGAAGTAGACAGGTTTGAATATGAGAAATTTCCACAGGTGTTTTACTACTGACTCTATATATATCTGTGTAGGTAGTCATAGCTATATTATATATAAATGCATACACACATATAAATCATATTTGTAGCTAATTTATATAACTGCAATAGTTTGAGAGGCTCAAGAATGCAGAATAGTTTTCACTGAATGCTTTAGTTTCACCCTTRCTGAGATAAGGGAACTGTAACCACGCAGGTGTGCAATGGATTCCAAGGTCTGCATATGAAATGGCTTTCTGAACACCACTGTGGTCTTTTCTGTGCAGGGCCTTGAGTGTGGCACCTTTAGAATGAATAAGCTAAACTCTTTATGGCCCTAATTATTTTATCCCACTGCTGAGCTGCTGATCTGAGCATGCTTAGCTTTTTGAAGGATGGAGGCCTAAAACMGGCGCTGAGGTTTGAATGAAGCCGAAGTTTTCTCAGCCATGTATCTGAGAAAACAAATCGCTGTAATGAAGCTTTYTCAAGTAATGAAGAAAAAGGAGAGACGAGTGGAAGCAAAACAAAGAGCTGCAGGGGKTGTTTCCCCAGCACATTTTGGTTGCCACACAATTCCATCAGCCCTGAGTGTCCCGGGGGAGCTGCGGCGGCTCCGGCCCCTGTTGGGCACGCTCTCGTTGTGTGCTGTGGCCATGGCTTCAGAGCCCACCCAGCCAGATCAARGCTCCCTGGGCTCCCACTTTGCTTTCTGCTGACACTTCTGGGAAGGCAGGCAGAGCAGCAGGAATGAAGCTGTTCCATACAAACAATGCAGCTGAGGTTCTTGCCTTGCATGTTTATGGTGGCCGTGGTTGAYAGAAGCATTTTATATCATGAGCAAGTCATTTGTGTTTATCTTGTTTGTGTATAATTGGCTGTTCCTTCTGTCTTGGCTCTCATTTCAGGGTGTTGAATGCTTTCCTGGGGTTGAGAAAACAGCAGGAGATGCCACAGAAGAAAAAGATGACACAGCAGCAGCAGCAGCAGGAACTCCAAACTCACAAGGTTCTGAAGAGGAGGACTTGGAACAAGGTGCAGGCAATGCTCAGCCACATAAAGGACTCAGGAAAAGAGCAGGCCCTGGGGACTTAGTTGGAGACAAGGCCACCAAACAATTTAAAACTACACCATAATTCCTGCTATTTCAGAAATCAGCAAAATTCAGTCTTAAAAATCKTAATTGACTGTTCTTGATTTGTAACACTGGACAAATTTCTTCAGGTGAGCTGAAATATTTTTGCAGCACACATTCTCCATTTGATGTTTCGTTTGAAATAAAACTTGTTTACTAAATGTGCTTTCCTTTTTCTTCTCCTCAAGTAATTAAGTAGTAGCTGAGCCTAGTTACTTCCCTGCTCTGAAAAGATTTTATTGGATTGCATGAGGTGTCCAAAGGGGAATAATTGGAGGGCTTGTAGGTACTGATGTAAGAAGATATTTCTATGGAAACCACATTCTGCATTATGGAAGAGAGATACCACAACACACRTTGGTATCAGAATGACAGTTGTAACCTTCCTTTCAGAGCAAACAATTGATCTTGAATTGCTTTCACTTGAGCTTTTCTAGCAGAAAAATCTGCCTTAAACCCTGTGGTGGACAGGATGGCATACAAAGGCCATTCATGCAGAAAAAGTTTGGTGCAGGGAAGAAGAGTGAACAAGCTCCAGGCATTAAACTGCTTTTCAATTCAGGCACTGTGATAATTCTGTTTGCAAGCTCAGGGTGTAGAACTTCATGTAGATTCCATATTGCATGTTTTATTTCCTGTGATGTGTTGCATTTAATTAACTTGGAAATATAAAATATTCCACTAGATTACTCACGTTGTGGCATGGTAAAGAAATTTTGCTCTTTTATCACACGCTGGTTCCCTGTTAGAATATTTTAGCTTTTTGTTAGTGGGGAATTTCAAAACCCTGAATGTTGTGTTAATGAATTACAGGTGAAACTCACTGGGATCATATCCTTAGTCCAGTGGCAGAGAAAAGGCTTTGCAAAGAGYTGAACAGCAGGAGGGTCTTGATAATTCTGAGCAGATCCAGCAGCCTGTAATTCTKAAGTGGCTGCCTTGGACCAAGGAGGGGTAGTTGTTTCTTTCCAGAAGCTAATCCAGCATTTCCAAGGAGACAATTCTGTGGGCAGGCATTGTAGGTACACTGTGGGGATGTATATTTTTCTCCCTGTACAGCATAATTGCTCACATGTAGCCCCATCACCCTGTTTTTGTTTAGGGTTGTGATTTAACGTAGCATTTATTCACGTATCCAAGTAACTCCTTCCCTGTTGAGCTGCTCTGTAAACCATATGCCTGAGCCACAGTGGAATCAGACCTTCCTAAGCATCTCTTGGRAAAAAAAAAAAWAAAAGAAATGCTATAATTGGAAYTTACAAGTTTTTGCCAAGAGAATTAAAACACTGGATCGTGTGCCAGCCTTAATCACGTTGCTATGGTTCTCTTGTTGCAAAGAAAGTGCATTTAGGACTAACTTTATTGTCAGTTGATCTTAAGGTTGTTGAAAAGTCATCAAGAGTGTGTTGTGACTGCTAAAAAGTCTGTGTCCTCCTGTGCAGCAGCCTATATTGTTAAATGTATGGTTAAATACATACCTCTTTCTTAAAAAAATAAAATKTCAATGCTTCACAATACCAGTTGCTTTGAAATATGATGGAAAATTACTGTAGCTCTGTTGATGAAGCTGGTTTTGGAGTTGCAGTAGCCTGGCAAACTGGCCTTATGTCCAATTTGCACATTATATTATAGTGGCAGAGTAAGGTAAACTGGGGTTATTCCAGCAAGTGAGGAGCATTAAGAATTTTAATTTGAATTAGGTCTTTCAACAGGATTTTGTCCAAGAAAATCCCAGGAAACTCACTATGAATTTGTATTAGAATAAAGGGGAGGTATAAGGYACTGTGTGGAATGGGCAGATGACTAATTAAATTAAATTAAATTCATTCTGTATGTGGGGACACTTTCAGTTAAAGGTTAAAACCATCAATTTTTTTAAATCCCCAAATTGAATTTGCATTTCACCTGTTAGCCAGTGATGCACAGCTACATTAACAAGCACTTTGCTGGCTGTTCTCACAGAAAAGTTGCTTCTTTCCTCTGTGTRTGCATCTCCTTCCTTGATTTTGTTTAGGTTTTTGTTTTCTAAATATCTCCTTGTATTTCTAAGTATCAAAAATTTCCATGATGACAACTTGGCATCTCACAGAAATTAGGAAAAGTGCATTTTCTAAGGTTGTGGTGGTGGGTGCTTGTTACTCTCTAATCAAATCAAGAGATCATCCTCCTCATTAAAACTTGTGACCAGAGCCAGGAATTCTGAGGTCCTACTTAATTGTACTAAACTCCAGGGCTGCAGGTTCCAGGAGGACAGAGGCTTGCTCCATGTTGTTTCAGAAATGCTGACTTASAGAACAATTAGTCTGAATATTGATTTTGTTTCCGTTTTTTTTCTTTTTCTATTTTTTTTTAAATTTAATATTAGTGCTTTAAGGTATCTGATTAATTCAAAAGCTTGGACCTGTACCTTGTTCCTGGCAGTCTGAAGCACTGCTTAATGAGATRACAAGAATCCTAAGAGGATCTGAAGCAGAAACAGATCCAATATTTTCACTGTCTTAATAGAACAGATTAAAAAAAGCRCACCCAACAGCGCAAACGTATTTTTTTCTCTCAGTGGAAGTTCTTTTATTTAAAAGAAATCTGCATTTATTCAAAGACAGGATGGTTTCAGGGTGCTGAAGAAGTTGGCAAAGGCATAAAAAGAGCATTCCAGTTTTTGGAGGGAAGTTTTCAAAACCTCAGATTTAATGTTTTTCTGAATCCACCCTGTGGTTGTGATGGGGCATGGTGATGTTCAGGAGACAAGGAAGTGAGTGTGTGTGTGTGAAAGGGGTGGCAGATCTGCTGAGAAGGGGTTTGTATTGGTTCTTACAAGCAGAGACTAAAGTCTGGCCTGCCAGGAAGATGCTAGACATCAAGATTAGTGTTAGCAGTGGTCTGGTGGGAGTTTGCCAGCTGAAAGATGGATTTGATTTGCTCTCAAGACAAGTTAACATATGGATTTTAAGGCTAGAAATTTCATTGTGTTAATCTGTCACGATGTTTCACGTAATGTAAGCCAGACAATTTCGTGCATGGTCGCTGCATCAAAAAAATCATTGGTTTTGGTTGAAACGACCCGTTTTTTTAGGATTGTTTTGATTTGGCAGTTCTGATTTTCAGATGTTGGGCAGTGGGAAATCTGCCACATGTGTTGGCAAGTTGTTCTAAAGTTTTGTCTTTACAAGTGCATCCAGTTTCTTTAGTGTGAATTAATTTTGTTTCAGTCTCTTGTGATGGATTTTGCTTTTCTGTTTAACTCTGAGCTGTGCCTCTGGTACAACCAAAATTCTTTCGGTGTGGGGATGGAGACCTTGTGGTCAGTCATGACAGCAGTGAACAGCACTGGTTTTTGGATCTGCCTATGTGAGGCAGCTTTTCTTGACCTTGCTTCATTCTTCTTTCAGATTTTTCAATTTTTCAAATTCCTCTTAGGAGCCAAAACATCATCAGAGCCCCCRTTCTGGTCCCGGTCCCGCTGAGTGATGGAGAGCTGCTGTGACCTGTGGTTGGAAATCATCACAGGATTCTCTTGTGCTGTAAGACTCAAACCCAGCTGATGTGATTTGATGTGTGGTGAGTGATGTGAGCGCTSAGAATTCAGCCTTGGCAGCATCACCTGTGTCGGTACCACGAGATGGCACCATCACACAGCGAAACTTTGGCCTCATCTCCTGGGGCTGCAGAGGTTTAAATGCATCTTTGGCTTGGCTGCCTCGCCAAGGAGGGCCAGGGTGTGCTAAAGCTTGTCATTCCGGCCCGTTTATCTGTGCAGTTTGTCTCCAGCGGGCCCCGGGATGATTTTTTTTCAAATATTTGTGAAGTCAAGGTGAGGTCAGAGCAGCACAAAATGCAGATTTCAACCAGTTTTTCCACTTTGTACTCTTGTCTCACCAGGAACCCTGGGTGTGACTCTTTTATGTTATGTCTCATTGTTTCCCAGCAGATGATTCTGGCTCTGTTGTGCAAAATTTTTAGCTGTTTGGGAATAGAAATTAACACTCAGTAACCACTTTTGAGTTGGATCACTTCATTCTGAGAAGTGAGCCATCCAAAAGTCTGCCTGACAAGTAGGTGCCAAAGTAGAAAAGAATCAGGGATGTTCAAATCCACATTTTAGTGTCCTTTCCTAGGAAGAAGAGAGGGAACAGTGTAAACTCCATCTAYCTGGAAACTTCTTAATATTTGCATATTTAGGATGTTGCAGGAAAAGGGGAAATGAATGTGTCCAAATTAAGTTTCTTCTTTGTAAAATTTATTGCTCAACTGCATAAATAAAGAATGCATCCAGCTGTAGTTTGTTGTTTGGTACTGACTTAGGCCTTCCTTTTTGTATTTCTTGTTACAGACGAGCATGCAATAAAATGTAAGTACATAGGAAACAAAATTAGGAGTTTCTAATTAGCCTGCTTTGCAATTTGTTTCGCCTTGCAGTCCAGCTTGATGGTGAAGTCTCAGTTTAATCTCCCTTATTTGCATTAGATTTTATTGACATTTTCTGTTTTGAAGGTGGTTGTGGAGTATTTTTGATGGGGTATTTTTGGTGGTGGTTTTTTTAAGAAGTCTTTTTGGTTTTAATTTAAACTGAAGGCTCCATTTTTGGAAGATCAATAAACTCCATCTGGTAGAATTCTCCCAGGCACCTGACACTTAGATGAAGTTGAACTTTTTCTTTTTTTTTTTNNTTTTTTTTTTTTTTTCTTTTGGCATTCCCGTGGAGGGGATCAGAGGTTGCATTCACCATGATGAGTGCATTTGGGGAAGTCAGTATTCATTCACCAACTTTGGATTTGTAAATTAATAGCTCAGCCTCTCTGGACTGTGGTATGTTAAAGGTCAGTGACCATGAGAGGCAAAACATTTCAGAGCTGTGTGTGCCCTCTGGTCAGCACAGTGGTCTTGGCTTAATGGCTTTAATTTCATGCTGCTTTTAAAAGATACAGATGTGCAACATGCCTTCAATCCTCCTACCTGGAACCAGTAATCCTGYCCCAGCTTTCTGCAAGGAGTGGGGAGGGAGAAGAGAAAAACCATTCCTAAAAGGATTAGTTGAACTGAGTAATTTTCTGAGTTTCTCCTTGCTTGGCATGTCCCCTCTCATCCAAGCCTCTGATAAGTATCTTAACCAAGATGCATTTTGGTAAAGGCTGCCTTCAAGCCTCATGATATAAAAGAGCCTTCTGATTCCCCCGCCCTCTCCAGATCTTGGGGCTGGTTCAATCTTTTTTAAAGCTATTTCTCTTGTGCTGCATGCAGAGCCCATCTGCTGTAATACAGACTGAAATGCTGCTTTTATCCTTGTTTGCGTAGCAGGTTGATGGGTAAATCAATTGGAGTGAAAGAYGCATTGTCCCTCTTTGCTCTATGTCACAGGCGCAAATATCTCCCTTTGAAAGTGTCTCTTGGTAGAAGCCAAAGCCTTTGGCACAAGCCACCTCTGCTAGTTTGACCCCTTTTGTGCATCTGGGATGGAGGAGCAGCTCTGAGAAGCACAGAACAAAACCAGCAAAATAGCAAGAGAAAAGGTCAAGAAGGGGTCTTGCTCCCTGTAGACATCAGAAGTTTCTGCAAGATGATATTTAGCATGTCCTGCCTGAACAGTTAAGGCATCAAAGACACAAGCACTTGGATAGGTAATATCCTCTCGAGTTGTCAAATAGATTGCAAAGCACGTTGCTCTGCCATGCTGGGGATGGGAGGGAGGGACCTTATGTCTTTCTAGTCATTGAGATAACTGAGACTGAGAGCTTCAGAGAGCCTTTGCTTCCACAGATGGATATTCCATGCTGTGCTCTGTCCTTGCCTGGCTTTTGACTTACAGGCCTGAGCTCACAGAGTGCTGCTGTGGGCCTGCAGAGGAAGGGGAAGGCAGTTTTCTACCAAAGACAGAGATGACATCAGTTCCCTGCAATAGAAGAGCTTCATTTTTGCCTCTGTATTTTTGCCAGGTTGCAGCCTTGCAGTGACTTTACTCTCAGACCAGTCAGTGTCTTTGATGCRGTGTAATTGCAGTGGCAGAGATGATTCCAGCAGTGGGATCTGAAGGGGAGGTAACACATGYTTGGATACATCACCTCTCAACACAGCAGGGTCAGGACAACCAGTATTGCCTGTCCTAGCCAAGGGAAAAGGCCACTGGTATGAAAAATCCAGGAGGCAGACAGTGTCCTACTGCTCAGGAGCTGGAGCAGGGAAACACAGGCCTGGCAGCTTTGATAGTGGATTATTCCCTGTGTTTGTGGCAGTGGATTGGTGTAACTCTGATCAGTAAAAATCCTCTCTGCCAAATCCCGTGCTTGAACCCCTGCCCAGGACAATAAGCTCATATGGTGGTGGCACAGGCTGAGTTGTGTTCTTCACTGTTGTTGCAGATTTTTCACAGCCCCCTGGTTTCATCTGCAATTTCTGCCTCTCCCCTCTTGTRTCCTGCTCAGGAGTAACAGGGATCCTCAGAGCAGGCTGCTCTCCCTCCCAGAGCTCTGCCAGCGTCTGCAGTCCATTCAAAACGACTCACCTGGGATTCACTTGTCCTAAAAAACAACCATGGACTGACAGCTTTTATCTGTAATGCTACAAAGAAAGAAAAGAAAGGAGCCAAGGAAGTACAGAAGAGAGCCCAGCTGATACAGGGACACACGGTGTAGTTCCAGTTTGGCCCGTCTTTTCCTCAATGCTGGAACTCATCCAGGATGAAAGTCATTGCTTTGCTGCTTTCTGATGCTGAACTTGCTTTCAGGGCACATCATTCCTGACTTCTTGATCACAGAAACTACCCAAACTGGGTAGTTTTGGCCCYACTGTGTCCCACAGTGGATGTTCCTGGGAGCCAGCATCCCCCACCTCGGGCTCTGCTGCCAAGGGAGCAGTTTGAACCCAGGGATGCTCAGGCTACAGTTAGTGGCCAATTAATAATACCACTTGTTGAGAAATACCAGTCAAATCTGTGGCTTCTGCTTCCCAGGAGTGAACTCAATAGGAGAAAAAAATTAGCCAGGATGTGTTTTGGGCTTTATTGAATTACTTTAAAGMTTTCCAAGTCATTTGCAAAGGCACGGGTGAGAGCTTGAGCAAGATAGTAGGTTAAAAAAGAGAATGAGATTGTTGGCTTGGAGAAAAGGGGGTGAGGAATTACAGTGCCTTTGTGTAAGTAAGTCTCTTTCTGCATCAARCTGTAGTTTTTGACCTTTCTAATTAATGTTGTTGTTTTTCTTCTTACTGCAGTGCAGTCAGTKCCAGCCTGACCTGTTCGTTCACAAGATAAAAGGGGTTAACTCATCAGAATGGAGATCCCCTCTATTGGCTCATCCAAATCTTTACTGGAAGTGTGATATCCATGAACACAAATAGAA